CCTCTAGTCTCGGGCTCCCTGATGCCAGACCCTGCTCCAGCTGCCCAGGGTTCCCTTGCTGGCCTGACTGCTGATGACATTCTCAACAGCAATGCCTCCCAGCCCACCTCCCCGCTCCTGAGAGGCAGCCTGCTGTCCCTGGATGCACTGCCCACTCCCAGTCGCTCCTCAGCCCGCCAGGCACTGGGAGTGACCATAGTGAGGCAACCAGGGAGAAGAGGGCCTGGGGACCAGGTTTTGGAACCCCTCCTGTACCTCCAGGTGATGCAGCCTTCTGCTCTGCTCAGCTGCCACCACCGCAAGCAGAGGATGGAGCTGTCTATGTTTGACATGACCTTAAGAGGAGTTGCATCAGACTACAAGTGTCTAGGTGAGAGGGATCAGGAAAAGAGACAGGCCAGGTGTGTGAGGGGAGGAGGTATTGAATGGATCCTGGTTTGCATTTGTTTGCTTCCAATTCATATATACTGTAAATGCTATTTAAAGCACAGGAAATGTAACTTTGCTGCCATCTTATCATACAAAGAAAGACAGTCTAGTAAAGATATCATCTCTTAATGTTAAAAGAGTTAACACGGTTTCTTTGTCCGTCTTGTTCCCGTCCTGTCTCCATGCTCCTTTTTCCCCTTTTTTTCCTCTTAATCTCTTCATCTGCCTCATTTTGCTCAGACCCAGGAAAGACTCTGCCAGAATCTCTTGACTACAACGTGTTTTGGCTTCAGACAGTAGCTGGTGAGGTGGACAGTAAAACGGGCATCCCTCCCCCCCTGCTCTGCCTCCAGATCAAAGATTTCCTCAATGGACCAGGTGGAGATTATGCACACACATAGACACAGCAACTCACTGTTCAACAGATGAAACTTCTGTACACTCATGCTAACATGTTCATTTACTATTTAGAGCATCCATTTTATATTTCATTGCATTTTATGAGAAACGTTTACTACTGTGAAACAGAGTACACACACACACACACACTGAACAAACACATGTACTAGGGGTAAACACAAAGATCTTTTTTAGCTGTGTGTACTCATAATGAGCAGTCTAAATAACATTATGGAAGATTTTGACATTGATATTGCTAATATTACTGGATTTAAACAGCAGACTACAGCGTTCTGTTGATATAAACGTGTGCAAGGTCCAGGCTCCTGTGGATTTGCCTTTCACAGGGTTTGGTTCTCTATTTTTAGACTGATATGATATCCATATAAGTAGCTTTGAGCTAAAGTTGTTGACCCAAGGGTGTGGCTGACATCCAAACAGAACTGCAATGAATAAAAGTGTGAGTGGGCTTTGGAGCGTGTGAGTGTGCACAACCTTTTTATCCCTATGAGGGCTGTATGGAGTGTGTGTAGGCGCAGGACATCCTTCAGAGTTCAGCTCCCTGAACCCAGCAGGCCAGATGTTGCAGATGCATACACACCGACACCCTATTACTGACATATTTCGACATATAGTCTGTCTTTTGTCCACATGCATACAATCATGAACCTATACTGTACATGTGGACAAAAAGGAGCTACAGGCTGGACTATAGCTGATATCAATGGTGGTTTGGGGAAGTTTACAAGCCCCTTGCCTACATGCATCCCTTCCTGCTGTCAGCAAAAACCCTCAGCCTCTGTCCACCTGGAGTCACGCAACACAATACAGCTCTCTGTGCACCACAGCAGTCGCACAATACAGCCTCACACCACTAGTGTCCATCTACCACTCAGCTCATCCCAGATGATATGAGCAACCAAATTACAGAATGCTTGACTTTTCCATGAGGCATGAGTTACATCAGAATGTCAGTTAGGTTTTGTGCATATATGGTAAATGTGATTCACTGTATACGGGAGAGGCCGATTGGTGAAGTGAGCAGAGAGAGTATTCTTCAATATACTGACCTCTGGTCTCCCCTTTGGAGGGGTGCAAGAAAAACTCCAGTAGATCTACTGCTGTTTCCAGAGACTTAATAAAGCATACATAGATTTCACAACATTTGGTTTGTATATCTATTAGAATGTGCAGAATATTCAGTGTTGCTTTTATAACCTCATATAATTTATCATCAAGAGGGTTACTGCAAGTTGTATCTGTCAAGATAATTCACATAATGCTGGGGTTGCATCTGATTCTTGTGCAGCTGAAGGACATATGCCAACACTGTGCAATTACAGTCAGGTGCTTCCCTTGAACTAGTAAAGAGCAGAGCTGTCCCTGTCTCTGTAAGATAACTTCAGTTATAATCACTCACATTCATCCTCTTCACATACACTCACACAAGCAACACCCTCCCAGATGACTCAGACAGGATCCAGACTCAGTGTGAGGTTGCCCCAGGTCAGTCTCTGCTGGAAATATCTAGAATTGACCACACATGCTACTGGTTCCCCTTCACCCCTTCAACTCACAGTCACACTCATGCATGTGCACGTGCGCACACACACACACACACACATCTGCATTAAAAATTTCAACTGTGTGGTATTTGGTTAGATTACTCTCCGGTGGAGATTCTTATCCTCTTGAGATTTCTTCCTTAGCAGCAAAGGAAGAAGTTACAAAGAGCAGAAGAATCTGCACGGATGCTGACTTTCTCATTCATGTTGTTACAGTACACAGAGACAAAGGGGGATCATTTTTGAGTCTAAATGTTTATTAGTCTTAAATGAAGCATCACCATCATTAAAAACAGGTTGAGGAAATGTCTTGACCTCCATAAGACATGTTTTGAAGCCTCTGCTCAGTGGAGTTTAATTGTTTGGCTTCACCTGTTTTGTTTATGAAACAAAAAGAGTGCGAGAAAGAATTAAAAAAAAGGATAGATGAAGACAGGATTAGGAAGGCGAAGTACCACCAGTGTGCTGTGATGTGTATGTATCATGTCTGGCGGCTGTACTTTGACTCAACAGTGCTTCACATTTGATTTATTTAAACGAGGCGTAAACGGAGAGCAGACCACAGTGAGGCCACGTCTCACTCTGTGTTTACAGCAATATGCTCGCAATTTCAGCAGCATTTTTTCTGCAAGACCAATCAAAGCTGCCCTCCCAAGGATGCTGAGTTGGAAACACTTGTAACATGTGTACTGTAAACTGGATGGTGTTTCAGCATTGACCCTCACTCAGCAGCCGCTCATCTCATACACACATACACTCACATAAACACCACTAATGTAGATGCATATAGGAGGCCAGATTTTTCAAAGCTAGAAGGGTTCAAGGCTTGATCAGTAAACACATACTGTATAGGAAAACAGCAGGGGGGATTTTTTTGTGAGTGTTCAGTATGAGCAGTGGTTCAGTGATTGACCAGCAAACACAAACCCTCACATACTCTTTCTTTCCCCTTCTCTCTCATCTTTCCTACTCAGTCCCAGTCTTGGAGAGGGTCAGTGAGCGTGTCCAGAGATGTAACTGCTACCACTTGCAGCTGAGAGATCAGCCTTCCCTCTGTAGAGAAGCAGCAGGTGATAGATTAGCTAGAACAAATTGGAACCATTACTCTTCTGTGTCCCTGGTTTCTGTCAAGCTATGGGTTCACAGAAATGTTGTCAGTTACTCTATACAAGCCTGTGCCCCTCCGAACCGTCCAGAACTGCTCTAATTTGAGTCAGATGGCGTCTGAGGCATGTGTCACTGGCCTTAGTTGAAATGAGTTTTTTCATGTCGTTGTTTTTATTTCATTTCTAAAGATACCTACCAAACAATTATTGGCCCTTAAAAGTAGGGACGTACCTACATACCCCTCATGTATGGGCCTTGTGTAACTGGACACATTGCCACCTGTCTCAGACACAGGCTCTTTGCTGTCAAGAGTCAGCCAGCAAAATCATAGGTGGGGTGGGAATGAAAGCAATGTTTGTGGTGTTTGCACACACACATATACCCGATATCAGGTTCAAAGTGGGGACAGCGTCATGCATGACCCTGCCAAACAGGCACAGTAACCTGGGTAATGAGCATATTTGATCTCCCCTACCACTTTCCAGAAATATGTATGTGTGTATGTGCCTCTGTCAGACCTTGATCTCCCACTTTCTCCAGTGCTAATAGAGGCTGACACCTGAGCAGGGCCAGTCTACGATCCCCCCCCCATCCTGTTCACATTAAGGCTTGTATTTTAAAAGTATGTGAACATTGGTACCACCTCTCAACCTTCAGGCTTGATGCGACTCCTTGCGCAGGCCTTCCATTGACAGTCAGTTTAAAAAAGCTGTTAGTTCTACAGCTGAAGCCAAGATGTTTCCAATAAAAACACTTGTGTGAGAATGCCACTGTTGGAAAAGCCTGTTTTTGACTCCCCTTGCTTGGTGATGAAAATGTCAACACATTTCTCTCAATACTTGATATTTCCTCTATTTTCTTTTTTAAAAAAATCCCTGCTCTCTCTCCTAACCCGCCTAAAGCATAACAGTCAGGCAAATTTGAAAGTATTTGTTAAAGAATTGTGTCAGTGTATATTGTTGAGAGAAGCCTTTTTCCTAGTGCTGCCTTACATCTTGATCTATAAATGCAGGATTCCTCAGGTTGTTCTGTAAAACCTATACTGTAAATCTGTCATGGCTTGTAAATATTTTCTTTTCCTGTTGTGAGATTTTAGTTTTGTACCTATATTGAAACCACATGGAACATCACTCTAAAGGCTGTTTTGCTCATACATTCTCATGAGCTCCAGAGAAACAACCAAATTTAGGGATATGACACAGATGTACTCAGAATTTGGTCATATAATGCTGTGATTTTATTGTGCAACGATTCATCTTTTGACATTGTTCCAGTGCAGGAAAAATGTGCTCCACTGGTTGTTGGATTCATCTGTGGGGAAGCTGTACAGATACTGTGACCCCATTCCTGTCCAGGATCCTCCGAGGAGTGTTGTTTCTGAGTTCACACAACTTAAAGTCCAGCTAAATCTTTATCCCACTGTCATTTGTCAGTGTGAAAGTGAAAGAGGTTTCCCTTTAACTCATCTGTCCATCCCTTAAGGAGTTCTAAAATTCTGAAATGATAAGCCTATCAGTCAGTTGGTATGTTAACGTGTCTGAGGTCATGTCATGGGAAGCATGACTTTATGATTATGATTTTTATGAACTCAAAGTATCAGTAAGCAGTACTTCATTTCTTCTTCCGGTTATGATAAATAAAGTCCGTAAAATAGTTCTGGGCAACAGAAATGAGTCATTTTAATGGAGCAGTAGTCTGATTTGAAAAATGTGGAGCCAATAAGCAATTGATCAAAACATCTTGCTGCATCACTTTTATTGCGTTTTTAAACACAAGTAATTCATTCTGTGCCCAATAAGACATCCATGCCATTGCAAAAAAATGCATATGGTAGCACTGATAGAAGGGACAACCAGGGCTGGACATGGTGCTTTTCTACTCTAGCACTCAAAGCACTGTACAATACTTGCCCACTCATTCTCCCTTGGTGGCACAGCTGCCATACAAGATATGACATTGGATATTTTCAAATATGTTTGAACCTGAACCTTAGATTCTTTTATTCCTTGAGACAACAGGGAAGATGTGACATGATGATTCCTGGCCTGCTAAAACTTACTGTGCATCTGCTGTTGACAGCAGGCTTCATAAATGGTTTTTAAAGACTGTTTTTAAACTGAATGATCTATCTTGATATTCTATTGTTGCTGAGGCAGTGAGGCACGCATAGAATCTAATGTAACCCTAACTTCTCCTCCCTGCAGGAAACAAATAAGAATCACATTTCCAAGCTTTATTAGCAACATATCCTCGATAAATGTGTTGTAGTTGCTAGCAATATGGGGAACTCTTTCTCATAAATATCCATAGGTCAACTGAAAACATAGGTAAATATAGGTTAAGATTTTTTTTTAAAAAGGATTGTAGCAAGCTGTATTTATTTCAATCATCAGTCTGGTCAGGCAGGTTTCTAATGGGTTAAGCAGGTAATAAATCCCTTACTGTCACTTCAGAACTGGTGGGGTCGAGGCAGTAGGATAGATTTTTCAGGGTGGGGGCACCAGGGACTTTGGGAGTGAGGACTATTGATAATCAGGACCAGGCCTCCCTGTGCAGAGAGCCAGGCAAGGCCCAAGCCTCAGCGCTGGCCCTGGCAGAGTGATCAGAGACAGCTTTATGTGATTACGGAGGGGGGTGGAGAGATGTTGATTAGGTTGAGGAATGAAGGAAAAGTAAAAGAAAGGACTGAGAAGGAGAGAGGAAGCAGAAAGATGGGCTGCAAACAGAGGGGGAGAGAATGAAGAATATGGGAGGGGAGCAGAGGAACCTGGACAAACAGCTGCATACAGACTATTAATTTCACCACTGGAAAGTTTCCTGGTGATAAGTCAAGTGGAAATGATAAGCTACATTGCACAGCAAATTCCACCTATCTTTCCTTCAGTTCCTTTCTCCAACTCCTATTTGACCAAGTGTCTCACATCCACTGGATTAAATGAGAAAGAATCCTGAGGGCATAGTTTTTCGGTGTGTGTGTGTGTGTGTCTTGTGCATGCTTGTCTGCCTCTCTTGGCAGCACTCCTGCTCATGTCATCCACTGCTCCTACCTGGGAAGGAGACAGACAGGAGGCTTAAACCCCTTTAAAACAGCCGTTAAAACACTGCTGCCTTGATGAGACCATGAACAGCTGTGCCTGTTTTCAGCTGCTTCACTCTCCCATCATCAGGACCAAGTGGAAAAATGGAATCATGGAAGTGGTGTAAAATGGCATTGAGTTAATTCATGTGTCTCTGTGACTTTCACTCGAGTGTTTGAAGGCTGTAGTGCATCAGAGAGTGAGAGAGGTAGTCTGAGCCGAGAGCAGGAGAGACCCTAGGGTTTATGTGGCTGGCATGTAGCAAAGATTCTCTTCTGCTATTCCACAGTGTTATGTTAGGATGTTACACTAATAGTGTGTATGTGTATGTGCATATACTAGAAAGAGATCCAGACTGGGCCCAGCTGCCTTTGCATGCAAATCTGAATGATTAGAAAAAGAGGGAAGAGTTCAAAGGTTGATTTACAAGATGTTACATATTATGAGTTAGATAGCAACAGATTTTACTGCTTTTTTTTTTTTAACTCCCAAATGGATTTTTTCCAGTAGGTTTCTAAGTGATAAAAGTAGGTTGTCGGCAAAGAGCAATGGCCAGCCAACAGTGACATTTTTCAGGTTGTGTCCAAGGTTTAACATAGTTTAAATGCTCTTCTTCTTTTAGTTTAAATGCTCTCTAAGCAGTCCATCATTAGATCCGTAATCATAATAAATGTAGAAAACATTATTTTCCCATTCACAAATACAACAGAACGCACACAACCCTAGAGATATCTTGGAAGAGTGTATCTATCAGTGTGCGTCTGTAATGAGGTACAGTAGCTTTGTTTTTATCTGTCCATAAGCTTTGCGCTCTCTACTTCCTGCCCCATTTTCTTTATCACTCAGCACTTCATAAATAAGTTAGGATGAGTACAAGAAATACTCCTCTGTTTTTAGAGATTACTCCGAAACTGTCCACAGAGGGAAAGGTCGATCATAATGTCTTGCTGACAGTGCAGTTTTGAAAACATGTTCTTTAATTTTGTCTCATCTCATACTTTGATGTCTCATCTTTGCTTTAATTCTTTTCCTTTTTCTTCTTCTCCCTATAGCTGAGCTGAATGTCGAGCTGTCACGCCCCCTGAAAATCAATCCTACACTGGCTAAGCTGGAGCAGGCCAAAGCCTACCTGAAGAAAGTCCTACCAGACCACACTTGGCATACCTCCAGTAAACCAGCGTCTGCTTCCCCCACACCTCATACCTCCCCCATGAAGACAATGCACAGGCCCTTTCCTTCTCGTTTTGACCCCCACCATCAGCACTCAGCTCTGGGTAAAACCAACAGCGTTGGGGCCCTGGCATTGTCCTTTCATAAGGTCTCCCTCCATACTGCCCAGATTGTAGTGGTCATGGAGATGGAGGCTCATCCAAAAAGGCCCAGCGTGACACTATCCATGTCGGGCATGACAGGAAGCCTGAAGATAAAGTCAGGGCCTAGAAAAGAAGGTGAGTAGTTTTTTGCAGGTAAAACACCACATTGAGCTTCTGTAGGTAGCAGCACATGATCAGTGCAAGTAGATACATTTGGTGGCTGAATTAATCTGTAATTGATTGAGCATCAAAGAAGTAAAGTGAAAAACATACAAACAGCCACATTACTTGTCATAGCTCTTCAAACCCACATAGACCCTGTTTTCACCTTTATGTTTAACCACTAATTGTTAAATATTAGTTATAACTGCCAGCTAATAAAAGGCTTTTACTGTATTACCTGCCACCTCGGTTTTACATTGTGATCCTGGAAGTCCAAAAGCAAAGTAGAGCTGGGAGTCACTGTTTTACAGTATAAGACAGCTATAGCCACATACAGTAACTCATGCTTGTATAGCCTTCCTAGTTTGTCTTCTTCACATATCTAAGCCCACCAAATGACACATGCTGCATCACTCCAGAGTAACCAGGCCCTGCACCTTAAATGACTCACTGTTCATTTTTTCATGTTATCTATCATATCATGCTGTATTTCAGGATTTTGCCACTTTGAAACAGGTGGAACTACATTGGAAGCAACTGTAATGACTTCATAGCATTTGGCAGATTTTTTTTGCAAAAGCCAAAACTTTAAAACCTTGTCTGTAGTGTGTCAGTTGTCTACACCTAAGCTCCCCATGTGAACCCCGCAGTCCAGGCCCTTTGAACATAAAGCATTTATTACATATACACAATCCAAAAATGTAGTGGAAAACACACTGGATCTCATTTATCAACCTTTCTTAAGAGCAAATTTGTTCGTAACACTCACTTACGGACAAAGATACTGGCATTCACCAATGTTTTCCTTTCTGGAACTTGTTCTTAGGTAAGAACAGTATCTTCGCACACTCGAGCACATTTGAGGGCTGACGTGTGTGAAATACCTGGTTATTTAGTTTTCTTCAGTTCTACAGTTGTATATAAGATTTAAGTTACAGTAATAGTTTTGGCATTATTAGTAGTTTCTCTATTTTTCATATTTTACTAAACATTATGGTCATTTAAAACAAATGCTGCACTAAAAATTACAGCAAGAAATTTTGTTTTTAAGGTTTTAAAATTAATTTAACTTTTGCAGTGTGATTATTTGTAGCTTAGGAAACACTACTTAAAAATCAAACACGTTTAAGTGCATATCTTTATTTCTAATTTCTGCTAATTAGGGCAGGCGACAGTAGAGCAGTCGTCTCCCAACCAGAAGGTTGAAGGTTCGAATCTCAGTGCCTGCAGTCCATGTTGAAGTGTCCTTAGGCAAGATACTGAACCCCCAAGTTGCCCCCAATGGTTAGAGCCGTCAGTTGAGGAGGTGCCTTAATTTCTTTGAGTGTCTCTCGGATATTTTGGCCAGTGTGTAAGCGTTTGGTTGTCCAGCGCCATATCTGAGATCAGGCTCAGGGCATTTGAAGCTGATGGCACCAGAGAGAGCCATGTATGGCCCCAACGTGCTGGTCCAGCCTGTCCTCCACCCTTCTCCTTATACAGTGTTCACTGAACAAGTAGGAGCATCCCATGTGTCTTTTTAGTTTTATTTTCTATCCAATACTGATGCTACTAAATACAGAAGCTCATTCGTTGTTCTCCACTTCATAACTACTCAGGTTTTTCTTAGGTTTGGACTTTCTTGCTCCACCATCTTTAAACATTTGTTGTAGCATTCCTGTCTTTCTCAACTTCTCTTTGTGTGACGTGTGCACACAGATCTGCAGTCTCATCCCCTTTTATGGGCATTGGCGGCACGTTAATCTATGCTAATTAGGAGCAACTGGCACGTGCTTTAAACTTATGAACACCTGGGATTCATCAATGTAAGAACAGGTGTGAACAATTCTGCGGTTTAAGAACACGTTGATGAATCAGACATAGACAGGACCTTTCTTAAAAACAACCTACAAAGACATTAAAGAAAAAAAAACACTTAGGAAGACGTTGGTGAACGAGACCCAATGTTCTGCTTCATGCCACGATGTTTTGTAACCAAGCAAGTACTGATGTGAACAAACCTTAATTTGCTGTATATACAGCATGCCACACTTTGATTGCAGTCTGTTAGGAATGCAGCTGAAGTGTTATGTTTTGTCATGAACAGGGTGCAAGGGTTAATGAAACAGCAGGTTGTATGAGGAAAAATTAGTATAAATCCATTCTAATACTTGAGTCAGAAGGCATATCCATCCTCTGCATATGAAGGACTGTAGTTTCAGTATTCCAGTGCATAGCACCTCATCACACTTTCCAATCTTTGTTTTAAAATATGTGATGTCCCTGCTTTTTGTTTTGGTTTGGGGGTGGACTTGACAATGTGTCATTCACTCACAATGGGAAAGCTTGTGAACCAAATGGCAGTATTGCTTTCAGTATTATTTGGAATATTACTGTTTTTGCACACGCTAGCAAAGCCGTCATCTGCCAAGAAGGTTTGTCAGTAAACTGTTAAGCAAGTTGTTTGAAGGTTCGTCAGTAAACTGTTAAGCAAGTTGTTTGTGCTAGTCTTGGATCCAGAGTTGTTTTGAGATTGTGTGTGTGTATTTGATTGCAGTGGATATGTGTGTATTAGGGCCTGAGAGAAAAGCTGTTTTCAAGCGCTGATGTCTAAGTGTGTGTGAGCGAGATGTTTGTTTCCATGTTAGAACCAAACCCTGCGTTCATCACCACTGATAATCCAGGAGACATCATAGTGTTTACATTATGACAATCAGAACTGCTAATGCTAATATAAATGAAATGGTTTCCAGTTTTTTTTCTCTGTGCCGCTGGGTGTGAGCTGATGTGCTGTAATAGATGATCAGGGACTTTTGGTTTGTTTTTCAGTTTTTGCTATTTTTGGCATATCTTCCAAATTGGACAACAGATGGAAACAGAAGGATAAAAGGGAGTGAGGAGCTGACATGCCACCTGCAGTAGATAACAAGGAACAAATGGATTCAGAACTTTGAGAGTAGATAGTTTGTACTGTACCTCAGAGCTGTTGAGCAACACCTCCTATGTCAGAGCTGCAGAGGGATGAGGACAGAGCTGGAACTGGGCTTCCTAAGTGCCTGCATCTGTTTTACAGATGTTTTTATATAGGGTTACTTCAGATAAAATGATTGTCGAAAATGTTAATTAAAACCTCAAACAATTTGCACTTTGTTTACTCAAACCTGCATAACTGCATGGTGACACAATTCTCAGTACTGCTGCCCTTCTTTGATTTTCACCAGCTTTTGAGGTTTCATCCATCTTTGATGTGTTGACTTCGATAAACAGAGTTGAAGCTGCATGTGCAATGCAGTGGAAAAAGAAATGGTGTTTAGAGACCAGTGTGCTAATCCCACTCGCTTTCCATGTAAATTACTCGCCTATTTATAGGGATTGCTCTTCTTTTGCACACAGTCATACTTTTCAAGAGATTAGCTAATGGCAGTTCTTTAATTTGTTTACAGTAAACACTGGAAATAGAGATTAATGTTCAAGGAGATGTCTTTCCATGGATATTGTTTTCTACACCATTACCAGGCACCTTTAAAGCTGGTGCTGCTCTTGTGACATTCCATTTGGACCCAAATAAAAACCTTGGAATCAGGACCACTGGTGTTAACTGACATCCAGTGGATCATTCATTCTCAGTTTGGTTCTGAACTCTTTGTTGTTGTGGTCCAGTTTAATTCGGCTCCCCATATATCACATACTGTCTGAGTGCTCTCTGAATACCCTGAGAGGTCTAAGATCCTGTCTGTAGATGTCATTCTAGGCCATCTCTCTGCCTCATCTTGGGGGACATGGAGTTGCACCTGTTGCCAGTGAGGCAGCATGGCAGAAAATGACAACAAAGAGGATATTTCTTTGGTCTGAGAAAGGTATTTTAAAGCAAATGTCAAGTTATACTGCTGAGTAACATGTTTGTCTCACCCAGTTACTTTTCTCTCTCTCTCTCTCTCTCTCTCTCTCTCTCTCTCAATGACTTTGGTACTTTTATAGATATGTCACAACACATATGGCTTTTTTCCCCAGAGGGCTTCTTCACACACTTTCCAGATTTGTTGCCATCAAAAAGAGACAAACTGTCTCCAATTACGCAGACTGATTGCTAGCAACAATAGATTATCTGCACCACCTTCATCACTCACCACCATCCGCACTCTACAGCATGGAAACAGATACCCTGGAATTTTACAAAGATAAAGGTTAGGATTCCCGTTCTGTAAGGTTGAGCATTTGAGCTGCCGCAATAAGTCAGCAAGAATGGCCCCCCTGGGAGACGTTGTAAATGTGAGATGTACGACAAGAGAATGTAGTATTACTTCCGCTTGTAGGTACCACTACTGTTGCTGCTGTTGTTGCTCTGCTGCTTTTCAGTGGCAAGCTGAAAATAATGAGCCAGATCCAGAACAGACCTCAGATGATACCAGTGTATATGGTAAAGTAGAGCAGGAGGGGGAAGAAGAGGAAAGCAGGGAGAGAGGTAGAAGAAGAGAAAAGATGCAGTGACACAAATCTGAGAGGAGAAACATTACGAGTCAAAGAGACTGAGTAGACGGGAGATGCAGTACAAGTTTGAGTTGAACTAGAATAGCAAATCAGGAAAAACAGTGAGAAAGGCAGAAATGAATCAAAGGGAGCCCACAGAGAAAGAAAGGAGATTTAATACGAGACAGAAGATAAAACAGGCAGGACTGTGTGAGCAGTAACAGGGATTTCATCAGTATGTGTCATTACATCCCCCCCACCCCATCCCACCCTGTCTTCATCAGCGTACATCCATAGCCGCAGTGTAGTGAAGACCCTGTCACCCCTACCCCTACATGGAACATCTGGGGTTCTGTACCTGGCCATGGCAGCCCCCGTCTGGCAGGGGACAAGATGGAGAGAGAGGGGATTAGGTTGACAGTGAGGTGTGTTACCAGATCCTGTGTTAATGAAAAGCAAGTGGAAGCCCTACATTCCTCCCCTCCGTCCATGGCTCACCACTCCCCAAGGTAGGGGTGCATTTATAG